AGTATCGATTAGCCTCATTCTGTTAGACTGCCTCTCTATCAACGAGCACGCAGAACTTACCTCCAACGCCGTCGTCCATTCTACTACTCTCTCATTACCTTCCTTCTTGCTGATGGACCCTCCTTTAATCCGTGACTCTCGCATTGACTTCGTGAAACAACGGATTTACTCCACAAACTCTGTGATGATACCTTACGCAATCCTCAGCCCTTTTCTAGCTCAGTCTCTTGCTGCCCTTTACCCTTTCACCCATCAACTGGCCTCCGATGTTATCTGTAACCAATTACTATCAACTCCCTTTTGCCCAAAAAAACCCCTGATGCCCTCGCTGCCTTCCTGCTCTGCTGCGCTGTATAGCCTTGTGCTCCGTAGAGCTTCTTTTTGATTGTACATATAATATGCAGCAGGCCTGTTGGCATGCTCAGCAGGTCCTTTACAATTCATCCACTACCGAAACATTTTTCCCACCCAATCCTCAATGCTACCCAAGAAATAAGCTTGATATAACTCTATCCACCTCATTTGCAAGTCACTTTCAAATCCAACCCCTCTCATTCATATATTATCCAACCTAAATTTGAAACTACCATGTCTAGCCTCAAAGAACCAATAGGTCAGGGACTGTTCCCTCATCCAACTACCCTATTCCAAAACCAGTACTTTCTATGTCCTTGCTAAATCTTAAGCTTATCTAATTTATTTAAATCCATTACTGTCATGTGAAGTGTTCATTCTTTTGGTGCATGTAAACATCTTTCTTTTAGGTAAAAAGAAAACATTGTTGTGATACTTTGGGTGTTGGAACGAATTATTGGAATTACCAATTATTCCTATTACCTGGTGTTTACCTGGAGAGAGTTCCGGGGGTCAGAGCCCCCGCGGCCGGTCTGTGCAGGCCTCCTTAGGTCAGTGTCCCAGGATGCGACCCAACAAGTCGATAAACACCTGGTACCCATATTACTGATGGGGAACATAGATACCCCAACAGGGGAAAGAAACACGTCCAATGGTTCTACTCTGGCGGGGAATCGAACAGGCCCTCGCCGTGTGAAGCTGAGAGCGTTAACCACCGGCCACCAGGAAAATTGATTCGAAAATCGTCATTTCGCAAAATAGTCCATTCCAGGAAGGATTAAAGGACGATTATTGAGGGACCACTATAGTTAGTACTGAAATTGTACTCACATTGCCACAAGCTCATGACAGGTGGACATTTACACCTGCCTTGGCCATTTATATTGTTATCTTGGAATATATAAAAAGTATATATATGTCCCAGCAATGAGGAGGAGGAGGACGGGGAGAAGGAGGAGGAGGAGACAGAGGAGGAGACGGAGACGGAGGAGGAGGAGACTGAGATAGAGGAGGAGATGGAGACAGAGGAGATGGAGACGGAGGCAGAGGAGGAGACAGAGACAGAGGAGGAGATGGAGACAGAGGAGGAGACGGAGGAGGAGGAGATGGAGACGGACGAGAACGGAGAAGAGAAGAAGACGATGATGACAATACGTAATAATAGTAAGGTCACTTGAAGCTGAAAAAACAAAGTCCACCATGACAGTGACATAAGATGAGATTACATTGATACGTAGTGACTTTGATGGAGCATACACGAGGATGGGGGAGGGTGCGGCAGTAAGGAAAAGATTAGAAGTGACGTTTAATGAGCATCGCCCTCCTTTGTTTTCACTGGTACACAAACATGTCTGTCTATTTGTATGTCTGATCAAGCTCCCTGTCTGTCTGTCTATCCGTTCTAGTTCTTGTCTCAGAGAGAGGGGGGGGGCCCACACAACCTGTGTTCATTTCACCTTTATCACATCTTCAAGCAGAGTATAGCATTTGGTCTGGATTCTTTGGAGTTATCATAGGTAATTTACACTATGTATACGTTATTTATGTGGACCTGTGAGACGGAGATAGACCAGACAGATAGAAAGAGATGGACACAGGATAGATAGAGACAAAAGACGATAGAGACAGAGATAGACATAGATACAGACAGACAACAGAGATCGAGCCAGGCCTCCAGCAGCGGCAGCCACATAGTGGCCCACCTGCAGTGGTCAGCCAGTAAGCCAGCCAATAGTTCAAACAGCCATCCAGCCAGCCAGAATTCGTTTCTCTTGATTTTGGACGTAGATTATAAGACTTCTGAAAGGGTGTTGCACAAAATATTGCACTGGGTTTATTATCTAGGTTTTTTGATATTCTCGACACTTGTGGCCCATCACCTCAAAAGCTTATAAACTCAGGGGTCAAAATCACTTTCCTCTTAAAAAATGAGAGTGTTAATACTACATTGACATCAGTGAACCCAGGTGTTTGCTGCGCTGTTTGCTTAGCTGGTGCTCAGTGAACTGGTAGATGCTCCCACAAGGTACTAAGGGTCCCGGATTTTTTTAATTACTGCGCACACTGAGGTGTTAGGGACCCATTCTATGTGTCAGGCATCAAGGTAGTCGTGCCAATATTTGAAGGGCAGGAAAATTTAAAACGTATATATACGTTTGGTGGGGCACTACTAGCGGTAAAAGCTATATTACAGTGCGTTCCCCGCTTTTCGTAGTTCCCGGCAATCGTAAATTTCGCCAATCATAGGGTTATTTTGTATAAACATGGACTCACTTTTCATAAGTTGACTCGCGAGGAGTCGTAATTCGTCCCGGACGCGTACCCACGGGCTGTGAGCTGTGGCGGCAGCCAGTCTGCTTTGTTTACCAGTGTAGCGAAGGTCCCTCATGTGCTCCAGCGAAATATTTCATAATATTCCATTTATTTTAGTGCTTGCAAGTTCTAAAAAGCTACCATGGGTCCAAGTAAAAGCTCCTAGTGCCAGCCACTGTGGTAAAGAGGTGGAATACGATTGTTGGAATTTAAGAAAAACCATCATTGAACAATAGAACAAGTGGTACAAGTGTGCAGAACTTCCAGATGTATAAGAAACCCTACAACAACCTTATGTTCATAGTGGCCAAGAAAAAGAAAACAAGGACGCTGTTGTTGACAATAGGGAGTATCTATGCTGACAAAATGAGAATCACCCATCTCGAAGAGGTTGAATGGAAGTTCTTATTGGTGCGGATAAATGAGAAACAATTTGCAGGGATCTCTTATGACAACTTTCAATTACTATTTGTGAAAAGGCTCGGCAGTAGCATTGAAGATTTGGTAAAGAAATTGCTGCAAATAGTGGTGAGTGAGTGAATTTAAGGCCGCAAAGGCTGGTTTGAGAGATTTAAGAACCTTATGGCTACACTGCTGTGGTACAGCATGGCGGGCTGCCAGTTCGGACTGCAATGAGGCTGAAAAAATAGTGATGGAATTCCAGGATTAATAGCGGGCTGAAGGATGAAACCTGAAAAAATGTTCAATTGTGACGATACAGGCCTCTTTTGGAAGAAAATGCCAAGAGGACCTTCATTACACAAGAGGGGAAAGGCAATGCAGGACACAAAGCCTATGAAATAGACAGGCTGACAACTAATGTTCTGTGCTAATGCTAGTGGGGATTTCAAAGTGAAGCCATTACTAGTGTACCATTCAGAAAATCCCAGAGTGTTCAGGAAAACAATGTTATGAAGAGTAAATGGTGTGTGTGTTTTGGAAATCTAATAGTAAGCATGGGTCACGAGGGAAATTTTTCGTCGAGAGGTTCAATGAAAATGTGTTTGGACCTAGTGTGAAGGAGTATTCCTGGAAAAGAAATTGGATCTCAAGGCCTGCTAGTAATGGACAATGACCTGCTATCTCCAATTGGAATGACCCTAATTTTTGAGGAGTTTGGGTTCATCACAGTAAGTTTCTTCGACCCCGAATACCCATCTCCTTCTCCTCCAGCCCATGGACAGCCAGGTCATTGCAACTTTAAAAAAAAACTCTACACAAACGCAATGTTTAAACAAGGTGCTTGTCTTTGACCACAGACACTCACTTGACCCTAAGGGAAATTTTGGAGAGAACACTTCAGCATCCTGCTTGCATAACCCTTATAGGTATGGCCTTGGGAGGAGTGATTACCAGGCTTTGAACTCTGCCTGGAGGAAAATGTGGCTCGTTGTGTCGACAAGAGGGATTTAGAGGGTTTTGGACTGACCCTGAGGAGCCTATGTTGGTTGTAAAATAAATTGTGGCACTGGGGAGTTCCATGGGGTTGGATGTGAGTTAGGAGGATGTGGAGAATTGGTGGAGGACCACAATGAGACTCACCACTGAGGGAACTGCAAGAGCTTCAGCAGGCAAAGAGGCAACACATCGCAGCTCGAATCTTGCTGCAGAGAGGAGGAAGGAGAGATGGCAGGGTGCCTTCTTCAGAAATTAAGAGATTTTTGCTATGTGGGGTAGATGGAAGCTTTATGGGCAAACATCACACCTACAAGGTTGTTGCAAGCCTATTGGCAACATGTACAGTGACATAAGTCTTGGGCATTTAGGGAAGTGTTAAAGACGATGCAGAAACAGAGCTCTCTCCACAGTTGTTTGTGAGTGAGGACAGGACTCCAGTGACTCTCAAGGTGGTCCTATTGCATTAAGAAACAGAGAAGACAAGCTCAACCCAGAAAAGCAATTGGTTACCTGAGAGTGTTGCTGGAAGGGGATTCCCTTCCAAACTATTCAACAACACTCTCTCTCAGTCTCCCATTACACTAAGAAGAATCTCCAATAAGGTAAAGTGTTTATGCTGTTAATGTTTCATTCATATTTCCCAATTGTATGTTATGAACTACATGTATATTTCATGTAAAAATTTTTTGGTTTTAATACTGTCATGGGTGTAAGGAACGGATTAATTGAATTTACATTATTTCTTATGGGGAAAATTGATTCGTAAATCGCAATTTCGTTTATTGTAACGGCTCCAGGACGGATTAATTACAAAAAACGAGGGACCACTGTATATACGTTTGGACTGTGTATGGGTTAAAACTGACAATTTCTGTTTACATCTCATACACAAGATAAGTGGTAAAGAAATACAACATTCAAATACTCTTGTTCAGGCGTGGTGTCTCCAAGGGTTTTGGTCAAGATCGACAGACTTCCACTGATACCTTAGAGTACCTCACAGAACCTGAATCACCTGGCCTTCCCAAAGCTGTTCGCAGAAAGTGAGTAAATTACACTAGACCACTTCTGCTTCTGAACGCTATATTCACATTGCTGCAAGAATATAACATTACTGTAAATCTTTTATTAAAACTATATTACATTTTTTTCACAATAGGTTACATACTACAGAAGTTAAATTCTTTTTATTCATAAGTCCTGGAAGACTTCATTTAAGATCATAATTTCACTCTTTAAATTTGCTTTGTTTCTTGGAGAAAGTTTATGGTACCTGGAGGGTGTTACCCTGAATGTATTGACCCAGAGTGGACATACATTCCCAAGGTTGTGCCCTCAGGCCTTCAAAATCTTACTGTAAGATAAGATTTGTTTGGATTTTTAACCCAGAGGGTTAGCACCAGGTTAACCCAAGAAAGTCAGTGCACCATGAGATACTGTTCTCATTTCCATTGTGGTCCTTCATTTGTACCCCAGGATGCCACACACACAATTGTCTAAACACCAGGTACCCTACTTAAGCTAGGTGAACAGGGCACCCCCCCCATGACCCTCCCCCCCCCCCCCCCCCTCCCCCCCCCTGCAGGTTAAGGTAGACACTAGGATGTCTACACAAATGGTTGTTGCCTCAACTTACACTACCTGTTATCTGGGTGGGTCCCACAGGGTAGTGGTAGTTTTCTTGAACCATTCTCTTTTCATTTACCTTCAGTGACCTCCCAACACATCTTAACTACTTAACACACTATTCTTTTTGAGATGACACTACTTATCTTTCTCTCCACCAAACCCAACTATACTTAGAGAACTGAAAATGATGAGCTACTTAAAAAATATCTACCTTGGATGATCAAACAATACTTACTCTCCCAATATAGACAAAACCTCTTCATGGGTTTGGAAACGCTGAAATATGATCAGCTAAACATATCATAATGGATCCCCCATTTCAAGACACACTTGATGGCAAATTTCGTTGGTTCTCACGTTGACTTGCTGTCTTAAATTTCAGACCCACATACAGCATATTCAGAAAGTCTCAACAACAGTAGGACAAGCCTTTCAAAGATACGGTACTATGTACCCAAACGGTGCTTACTTGCGCATGGGTTCAACACATCTCAGTTACCTTAAACCTTTATAATTAACCCCAACCAGACTGTGCTGTGCAATTGCTTACAAAAATCCTGTGCCAAGGCAACACACATCCAGTGCTATTTAAGGCTTGAACCTGATTAGCCTGGTGGTAAAGCTCTCACTTCACACATGGAGGGCCCAGGTTCGATTCCCGGCGGGTTTGGAAATTTTTGACGTTATTTCCTTACACCTGTTGTCATGTTCACCTAGCAGGCAAGTTGGTGCCTGGGTGTTATTCGGATGGTGTGGGTCCCATCTGGGGAAGCAAGTTTTGAGGACCCCAATGAAAATAAGTTAGTACAGTCCTCGATACGCACTGACTTTGGGTTATCGTGGGTGACTAACCCTCCCAGGGTTAAAAACCAAAAAAAACTTATTTACCTTACTTATGTTGTGTGAGGCTAAGCATGCCATCAAGCCATGTTAAGCCCTCTTAGCGGTCTAATTTGGCATGGATTACATCTGGTTCACAGTACATGTTTTAAATGATTTTCTCACAATTTAACAATATTGTGATATTTCATCAACACATTAACACTTTTTATTTATGCTAGACAATGGTGCTAGGAATTTGGTAAATCTTTAGTGTGAATTATGTTGATCATTCCATAGCACAGCTGAACCCAGGTGGGTGTTCCAAGGGTCACGTACGCCATCATGGCCAGCCTTGACCAGGCCTCCCGATGGAATCAGGGTCTGATCAACTAGGTGGTACTGGTAACTAGCCACTGATTCTGATTCACTGTTTCTTTTGTATCTGTTGCCCATTTCATTAAAGCTCGCCTGCTGGCCATGTGGCAAAAGTTAAACCACATGTTAGTGTACATGTGCTATATTCCTCAGCTTCCTAACTCAAGTTTGGAATTATACTGTTTTCAGTATCTCTTCTTAGATATTATTCCACTTCCAGTTACAAAATTTCCAACCCAATGATGCTCATAAATGTCTTGGATATACCTAGCTTCAACTCATTTACTCAGAAATTCCTGCACGTTTATCTTCTTTTATTCGTATTTTTTTACAAATTTACTTGGGACCTAACACGCATTTGGGTAATGGTTTAACAATACCGACAAGATGCGAATAAGACACTTGTGCTAACATCTGGGTATCTTTATTTATAGGACGTTTCACCAACCAGTGGCTTTATCAATACATGGATAATGTGAAGAATTATATACAAACGATGAAGTAATCAGTCCTCAGCTTGAGTTAGTGTTACAGCACCATTGTCTTAAAGGAACTGAGCACAGTCATGGAGTTTGTGCTTATATACTGGCAACAAGTGACAAAGGCCTTAGTCTGATGCCTGTAATACCTGTTGCCAGTATGTTAGCACCATGCTCATGACTGCTTTAGTTCTTTCAAGAATACAAGGTTCTTCACCAAACTCAACGCTGAGGGAACTAATTACCTCGTCTTGATATAATTCTTCACATTATATTCTTGTATTGCTAAAGTCATGGTTGGTGAAACGTCTTACAAATCGATACTCAGTATTGTAACAAGTGTTAGTTCAAGATTTCTGTTTGTACTCACCTCCAAGCTATTTTACATTGCAACATCAAGCTTCAAGACAAGATTTCTCAATTCTGTTACATTTTCTTCTAGTCTCTTAGATTCAACCTGAATTTCTCTTTCTTTCATCTGCTGATACTATACAATACTATGATGTAAATTACTTTCACTGGAATATTTATCACCTGGCTTCCTATTCATTAAAGAAGCCAGGCATGTCTCTAAAATGTAGCTACCGTAAGAGCATGTAGCCAATGGCATGCATATGTAGCATCTGTTGATATTGGTAAAGTAGACCTAATGATTTAGTTTAAATTTTTAATTATATTTATGTAGTAAAATGTGGCAAGTAGAGAGTCCCAAGCAAATTGTACTCCTAGCTTTAGTTATCATATGGGCCCCAGCTTATAATCACATCGTACATGTGTTTCATCTTGCACGCTAAGGTGAAGATATCTGCTAAGATCTCTGCCCTACCCAGTGATGACAGCCTTCTGTGTCTAATTTAATTGGACAGTTCCCCTCAAGGGACCAGGTAGGTTAGACATCGTGCTTCTCTTGTGGTACGTCAATCTTACTCCTCCTTTTACTATTAGGGTATTTACATTAGGTATATTATAAAGAATTTAGCATAATTTCTGGAATTTGTTGGATAAATTACTACAGGAACCACACATGAGAGTATTTAGCTATGTTTAGCCTGTATGCACAAGTCCAGAATATTGTAACTCACTAAATAGGAATTAATGCAAATTATCAGCATGTATACACGGAGACCTTTTCTGGTGTATGAGGTTACAGCTTCTTGGCATGACTCATTGATTAGATTAGGTTAGTCCACTGGGTGTTGGACTATACTGGTGTCCAAAAATGACTCAAACGGGCACTATTCTTTCAAGGGAATAAATATTTTGAAATCTTCTGAACCAAGTTGCATGCTCCATCACAGCACATTAACACCTCCATTACCCTTATTTGAACCATGGGGAAGGCAGATGGTGCAGCTGAGCCCACAGTTACTATACATCTTGGAATTCTAAGGCCTAATGAATCAAGTAGTCTTAGATAACTGGTGTAGTATCCTTAACCACTTGACTGTCGAACCCCAAATCCTGGGTGACTCCTTGGTGTCGAAAATTTTTTGAAAAAAAAAAAAAAACAATTAGTATTTTTTTTATGAATGATTAGAGGAATCTTTTCCAATGGTAATGACACCAACAAAAAAAATTGATGGAAAACTTACGGAATTACGCTCTCGTTGAAGTTAGCAACCTCGGCGATATCTTACAAAATCGACAATTTCACCCACTTTGAGCCTCATTTGGCTAATCCATAGTTACAGTCCACCAAACTCATAGCTGTACTTAGAACTCCATTGTTTATCGATTGAGCGTACAAGAAATGCCATATATGATTTCAACTCCAATAACGTGGTCAGAATTTGCACTTTGGCTAATTTCATGCAAATTAAAAATATGCCAATTTCAAAAATAGGTTTCAGAAGAACAATGCAGACATTCCTGGTCTAAAATAATTTTCTTTGTTCATCAGTCATGTTCCAGGCCCTCTGTATTACTCATGCTTTCTATTTTGAATTTTTATTCAAACAAAAATAGAGAGTATGCAATATTGTTAATAATTGTATAAATATCATACCTTCATGAACTGCATATTAGAATGGTAGTTGGAATTTTATTGGACATGACATCATTAGTTTACATTTGGAAAAAATTGGCAAAAAAATCAAATATTTCATGACTTAGAGCCTCATTTCAGGTGCTTTTATAGTAAAAGCAAACCAAAATCTATTTCTTTAATATGTTTTCCATTCTATCAAACAAGACAAGAAACGAGACTACAACCATAATACTATACGAAAATTACACCGCAAAGTCAGGAACTTTAATCCCAAAACACGGTCGGAATTTTTTTTTTTTTTTTGTGGTGCACACTGACCCATTCTTCACATGTGGGCCTTACCAGCTTTCTCTGCTTGATTTGACGCCAATAGAATTTTTGAGTATATATAAATCAAACACAGTGGCTTGTAAGACGTATTTATATGACCAAAACAGTCAAAGGTTAAGGACTTTATTCCACACTAGTTGCCAACATCCACTCTGATAGGTCGAAGATGGCTGGATGGACCTCTTATCTTATGGGTCTATGCTCCTTGGTTAGAACAATAGCCAAGGACTCTGCAGCTAGCAGAGTCCCGAGGAATAGAGAAGGCAGTGGGTGGTGACCCACTATATTGGCAAACAGCAGTTGAGAGGCAAGGTGACTGGGTGGTTAGGTGAGCTAGATAAGTAGCCACTGGGGTGGGTACAGGTCAGATAGTGGTTGGGTGGGTGGGCAGATGGGCAAGAAGTCACTGTGATGGGCAGGTATCACCAAAGAAGGGGAGGCACAATGGGACCTACCCCCAAAGAAAATGATGCCAATTAGAATCTCGTAAAGGAAATACTATTGGTTTCAAATTAAAATTCATGTTTTATTTTCACATGATACATAGTTTATACAGCAATGGGTGACACTTGAATTCATGCAGAAAGCCCATGGTTATGCAGAGCATTTTGGGCAAGCTTAATCCTAACTTGAAACTACAAGAGCAGTAAACATTATATGTATTTTTTCTTCTTTCAACAAACTGGCTGTATCCCACTGAGGCAGGATGTATGT